AAAAAAATCTTCACCACTGGACCAATAAGCAACATTCTTATGAACGGAGAAAAGATTAAAGTTTTCAAGGACTTCATTCTTCTTGGATCAACCATCAACACTCAAGAAATCAAACGACATATTGCATTGGGCAAATATGTTGCACAAGACTTTTTTTAAGCGTTGAAGAGCAACGATGTTAGCTTGAGGACTAAAGTGCGCCTGACCCAAGCCATGGTATTTTCAACCACCTCATATGCATGTGGAAAGCTGGACAGTAGAAGAATTGATGCTTTTGAGTTATGGTGTTGGAGGAGAATATTGAAAGTGCCACGGGCTGCCAAAAGAACCAATAGATCGGTTTTGGAAGAAATACAGCCAGAGTGCTTCTTGGAGGCCAAGATGGCCAAACTTCATCTCTCATACTTTGGACATATTGTCAGAAGGGGCCAGTTGCTGGAGAAGGCTAAGATGTTTGGTAAGGTGGAGGGACAGAGAAAAAGAGGAAGATCCCCAACAAGATGTACTGGCCAAGTGGAAGCAGCAATGGACTCAAGCATGGCAACAGTAGTGAGGTTGACCCAGGATCAGGCTGTGTTTCATTCTGCTGTGCTATAAGTTGGTACTGACTTGATGACACCTAATAACAGCAACTTGGTGGAGGGGAAAAAAAATTTGAATTAGACAGAATTACTGAAAAAGATGACTTGAAAACTGTCCATTTTGTGTTGTTTTTTCTTTCCTTCCAAGAATTTTGGCCTCCAAGGAGCACTCTGGCTGTACTTTTTCCAACACAGAACTGTTTGTTCTTTTGACAGCCCATGGCACTTTCAGTATTCTCCTCCAACACCAAGAAAGCATCAATTCTTCTATGGTTTTCCTTACTCACTGTCCAGGTTTTGCATGCATATAAGGTTACTGAAAATACCACGGCTTGGATCAGATGCACCTTAGTTCTCTAGCTGACATCTTTGCTCTTTAACATTTTAAAAAACTCTTATGCAGCAGATTTGCCTAATACACTACATCATTTGATTTCTTGATTGCTGCTTCCATGAGTTTTGATGGTTGATCAAAAAAAATGAAGTCCTTGACAACTTCAATCTTTCTTCCGTTGATAAAAATGTTTATTGGCCCAGAGTGATGTTTTTTATTTTCTTTACATTGAGATGCAATTTATACCAAAGGCTATGGTCTTTGATCTTCATCAGTACATATTAAGAATGAAAAAATATTTGACTAGAGTGCAATCTATCAGGAAAAGATAATAACCTCTTTAGTTCCCTATAAGTAAACTTGTATTTTAAGTAGCCTGTTCACACTATAAAAATTCTTTCTAAAGGCACACTTAACCTGTTTTATTAAGCATTTGCCAAGCCAGTCAGAGTGCTATAAGACAAACATGATAATCTACACTTCTAATGGGTACAGCTCTGGTAGCATAGTGGTTATGAATCGGGCTGCGAACCTCACGGTCAGCAGTTCGAAACTACCAGCTGTTCCACGGGAGAAAGATGAGGCTTTTCTGCTCCCCTAAAGATTTACAGCCTGGGAAACCCTGTACAGGGTCGCTATGAGTCAGTACATAACAACAATGGGTACAAGGTTACTGGTTTTTCTTAGGAATTTGGTCTGACCACTTAGTAGCAGTTAACGCCATGAGGAAATCCTGCTGTGGTGCTGTTCGATAAGTACTCTGCCCAAAGGAAACAAACTCGCCATCCACTCCTTGGAAACTCATACACGGTCACTGAGTTGGAACTGACTCGATGGCACTTAATAACAAAGTTCATGAGGCAATGTGGCCCCTTTCCTTCTATGTCCTAGTGCCCAGCGTATGACAGGCATTAAAATTTGTTAAATAAATACAGGCTTACGCACTTTTACAACACCTACTTTATTTATAACCACCTGGACATTTTTAGAAGGTGATGTGTAAACCCAATTTGCAACGTTTTGCGTCTTACATAAAACCAGGGTAAATACCACAAGAACTCCAGCCAAGTAATAACCAATATCAACAGTAACTATCATCAAACTTTCTGCATTAGAGTAACTTCATCCATTTTAGCCTTAAAAGACACATTATGGTCTTGAGCAATTCGTACTATTTGTGCCTTGTTTTAAAACAACATATATTAGCAGTTTCTTATCTATTACATATCTTTGCAACCATCAGCAAAGAATATAAGCTAGCCTTCTACTTTGAAATGTAACCATGCCACTTCAGTAGCATTCTCATAGACTTTAAATAATAAGAATTTCCTTCAGTTTCACTTTAAAAGAACCATTGCATATTAAATACAGGGGAAAAAATACAATAAAATTAGATTTTGAAGATTCACATAAATATATTTACCGTAATTTTTAATTTATAGAGATATCTAATTAAAATCACTGGAAAGATAACAGAATAAAAATATAAAACAAATATTTTCAATAATTTATCACAATCATTTAAAAGAAGGCTGCAAAGGAGAACCCATGTTTTTTACCTAATTAACAAACCTTACTGCATTTTTGCCTATATCAATTGTACATAAATATGACACCCACATACACAAAGGTACTTCAAATGGTCAAGGAAAAGTATAACTAAAAGTAACAAAATTTTTCTGGGCACTTTTAGAAGCCCCTTATATAATGCGGAAATATGGAAATTATGTAATAGTTCTGGCACCATATACATTTTGCACACACAAAAAAACCTTGATATTACCGTATTTATGCATATGTTTCTGGGGCATATATACACTTACTACCACACAATATTCCCCCCCCACACACAATATTAAAAGTGAATTGGCTATATTAGTGATGGGTCAAATTTTTAAAAATTACAAATCTAACTAGTAAAAAATTAATGAATCTCAATATTTAAAATCATATATCCAATTCAATCAGAATATTTTTTTTGACAATCAGTAAATTTATTACATACTAAAAATAACACCACATTTATGCACAAATAAATTCATTTTTCCAGTAAGAGATAATCTTTCTTTAAGAAGATTTCCCACATACTCACAGTACATAATATCACAGAATACCCATATTTGACCTAAGTGTCTCTGAATTGTAGCATTACAAGATGGAAGTTCATTGTGCTTGATAATTCGATTGAGTTTTGACCAAATATCTTCCAGAGTTTGATTGTCACAAACAGTCTGTTCTATTGTCCATCTTGCTCTATAAAACGAATGTAAATTTAGTGCCTTTAAACTATTTTGCAATTTTTTAGATAAAGGAAAAATCTTTTCAGTACAATTTTTGTTGGGTATTGAAACACTCCAAGACCTCTTTAAGTCCTGTCTTTCTTTTCCAGAATTAGCCTGTTCATCCAGTGTGTGTGACCGGACTAAGTGCTTCTTTATTTTCAAATTAGGTTGAAATTCCAATAGATCTATTGTGCAATCATAACTCTGTGATTTAACATCGTATTCTAAAATGGTTAAGTGTTGTTTCACATCTTCAGCTGCCTCTTCAGAAATCAGAGGTGGTGCTCTCTTAGGTTTAAGTGCAAGTTTATTAGACCCAGCGTGTGGAAACCAAGGAATAAATCTCGACAGTCGACGAGCAGGAAAATCTTGAATCACTTTTTCTATAATTTTTGGCAGTTGTGTGGGATCACTCTCATATGGTCGATAATGTAGTATTACTTCTGTGGTCATTCTGTAGTAATCCAGTTACTCTTAATGGAGACAAAATTTCTTAGCTGAACTTCTCAGAGCTAGAATGTAATTTGTAATTATAGTATGTCTCTCTTTCCAACTCAGAAGGAAACAGGACCTAAAGTAGAAGCATTGCAAAGAATAAGAATAGTGGTAGGGACAGTCTGCACAAAGGCAGGGAGAGAAACCCCCCCCCACACAAAAGTCAACCTCAATATATTTCATCAAAGCGATTGTTAGAACATATGAATACTCTACAAATTTAAACCATTTTTTTTCTGACATCAAAACAGGGGATCGGAGTTAGATGCCCAGTAACATCACTTTCAATTCAAAAATTACGGTAGTCAATGAAAACAGAAGTATCAATACTAATACAAGAAATAATTGTTTTAAGACTATAACAGAGACAGAGTAAATCAGTGATTCTTCAAATCCTAGAGTCAGATGAAGATAACTAACAAATAATATAGTAAATTTTAAATCTTGAGACATCTGAATTAAGAGGACAATGAAAATCAGTATGATTTTAAGTCTGTCTGGAATAAAATTGAACATTTTACACTTAAAATAAATGTAGAGACAGAATATTTTATGATTCTATCTTATGTTCAGCAGTAAACACTAAAAGCATAAATATGGCTTAACTTCGTATTTTAACCAGGCTAGGAACTGGTTCTGTGACAAATCACCATTTAACTGGGGCACTTAAACAATACTGAGAACCTCCCTCAACACCCTGGTTCTGATGAATTACATAAATCCCAATTTGAAGTAGAAAATTACGTAAGAACACCCTCAAGTTGCTTCAAATTAAGTCACTGAAAACATGATCCAGCATATAACACATATACTCAAGAATGCAATCTTTCAGAGTCTGCATAGAGGCTGGACTCAAAAACCAAAACTGCAAGGGCTGTAATATAGACACTTTCATATCCTAACTACTTTAGAAGTACAACAACAACAAAAAGGCTTACTCCCTTGTCCCCTAATGTTATCAGAGACTAGGAGGGTTAGGATATCCATGAGCAGGGAATTCTGCCATGATGTTGCAATACTAATTTGACTACTGTCACATTTTGAGGAGTCAGAAGAATAATCTTTTCACTTATCCATAGTGTCTACTAAGAGATTTGACAGCTCTCAAATTCATTAATGACTATGATCCTTAACACACACATTTTTATATGAATCTAAATATGGTGGTGTGCCATGGAGTCAGTTCCGACTCATAGTGACCCTCCATGGGGTTTTCGAGACTGTAAATCTTTACGGGAGCAGAAAGTCTCATCTTTCTCCCACGGAACTAAGACAATGTATTCTTCTTGTTGTACCATCCTAATACTTTCACAATGTAAGATACGGCATTGAAGGTTCCTATATTGTCACAATGTGCTCAAAGTTGGAATAAAAAGACAACTAAGGTGATGAGTCTTTTTTCCAAAACATTATTATTGTCTCAGTATTTTTATATATTAAAATATAAGAGAGTAAACAAATGACTATTTAAACTGTTATATTTGCCATCCAGCAATAAAATTAAAACTTGTGAAAATTCTTGATTAACTATGACGATAGGAAAGAATGAACAAACAAAGCTATCAGTAAATTTCAAAGCACTCTTTCTTTCAGGGTGTTACAATACTCCCACCCCCCTCCCCACCCCCCCATCTTCTGTGTTGGAAAATAAAGAATAACAGAAAACTAAAAATTCCCAGTGGCAACCAGTTTCTGTATCACTGGAAATCAACTGTGTCTAGTAGCTTTTAATTTGCATAAAATCATACTTAGCAGCTAATAGAACTCCAAATTCCCACTAATGCAGCCAGCAAAGATCTCTGAAAATGCTGCTGCCTTCCATTCAGGAGGTAACACGGTGCCTTAGCAAGATGAATGCAGGCCTTATGTTGAAACACGGACTGTCACTTACTGGGAAGTGATCTTGGAAACATTAGCTAAACTATGAGATGTTAAGTACCATGGAATAGGTTTCAACTCATACTAACCCTGTACAGGGTTACTGTGGAGCATCTGGTGGGTTTGAACTGCTGATCTTAAGTTCCCAGTCCAGTGCTTAGACTACAGCACCACACCAGGAGTCCAAACTAAGAGCTAGGTATTATCTATTCCACATACTTGATGTGCGCTTAAGAAAAAAAAACAAAAAACCACGCTCTTTCTCCAGGAAGAACTCATTTTAGACTAGATTATTTGTTCAAGCTTACAGCTTTTCTTCACTATATTACTTAATACTGTGAGGCTTCTTAGTTCTATGCCGCAGTACTGTTAACCCCAGCCATCAATATATGATTTATGTCCCGTTACATACAGGACTGGTCAGTTTATGGACCACAACCAGGGATGAGTCCCTAAAAATGGATGCAGTAAGGAAACTAAGTGCAATTAAACTGGATTCAAATGTCTCGTGAACATTCTTCAGCTTAATCCAAGAAAATCAATGTCTTGGTAACCAGACATTAAAATATCCAATAAATAAAACGTGTATTTGTGGTCGGGGAAAATATAAGAAATAAAGTGTCATGCATTTGATATTTGAAAGTCGGCCCTGCTGCTTTCCCCCAAACAATCGACTAATCAAATTATTAAACTTATTCAAAGTTGCTTTACCGTGTACAGAAAATGAACGTAGACGTGATACTTCGGGAAATTTCCCCATCAATACCGTAGGGACAGCACTGGACTGCTAGACACAAGGTTGGCAGTTCAAATCCACCAGTCACTCCGTGGAAACCCTATACAGGGACGCTGTAAGTCGGAACAGACTTGACGACACTTAAAGGCAGCAACAAGGACATTCCTGGGACGCCAGCTAAGTCTGTCTGGTGAAGATGTTGTTAAGTGCCGTCGAATCGGTTCCGACTGAAAGCGTCACTGTATAGGGTTTCCGAGGAGTCGCTGGTGAGCTTGAACCACCGACCTTGCGGATCAAATCGACCTTGCAGCCCAGCGCATTATCTCGCAACGCCTCATCAGGACAGAGATCAAAGAGTGACGTACCAGACTTAGATGCAGAGGATGGCTCACAAACTTAAAAAGCGACGAGGCAAAAACGCTCCTCTAGCTCGGCTCCAAGGAACAGAGCAAGAAAGAGGAGAGCGAAGAACGAGGTCTACATCTCACAAGACAAGTCTATGTGATAAAAGCTTCAGAAAGTTGTGAAAAAAGGTAAGAAAACATAAAAGGAGAGCTAAATTCGCAGTAATTTACCTTTCAGAGCCAGCAGGTGCTCCTGTTTGGGGGTATTCACTTCCATCTTGAATGGCACTTTAGAGCTCAGCCTACCGAGGCTGAGGAGGTTCAGCCCAGCCCGCAGGACCCAAAAAACCCACACGCTCGGCGAGATTGGATGTCAAACCCACTTCTACAGCTTCTTTCTACTGATACGGACTTAAATTCTGTTCCTCCTACGTCCTTTATGGGCCCAACGACCACTTTTCACCAAATCCATCCCTTGTTTCTTAAAGAACTATAGCTAAAATGCTTCCCTGTTTTACAGCCACAATCGAACACAGCGACTTCAAAAAAAAAAAATGCTTCCTAGTAATATGGCTTCCCAAACTCCTATATCGCGAGATTTAAAAAGAACACACATAAAACGAGTGGGATGCTGGGATTTATAGGACTAAGAAACCGCGTTGCATCTCGGGAGATGTAGTTCCCGGCAGCTGATTTGCTGTTTGGCAGGGGAGGGCATCAAAAGAGAGTCTAGTCCCCCAAAGTTACTTTTTACTTACATTTTATTCCTTCTTTACTCTCCTTGACATAATTCTACAAGGTACAGACTCCTTAATAATAAAAAAAATATATATGACAAGTGCCCACGCGCAAGGCCAAATTTAATCACTGACTGCGGAGAAGGAGGAGCGAAAAGGCCAGGCAAGAGGCGCACCAGGTTGTCGTACTGTGTTTGTGCGCCAGCTGCGCGCGCCGAGGCATCTGGGTAGGTGGCTCTTCCCCGCCTCTCAGCTGAAGGCTGTGACTGCTTCTTCTGTGGCGCCGCTCATCCAAGGATGGCTGCCCTGATTGTAAACAAGTCTGGAGCGGGACTAGACAGTGGCCGGCAGGGCAGCCGGGGGACGGCCATGGTGAAGGTGAGGGACCTTGCGTTCTCTGTTCTCCACCACCGGCCTCATCCTGGAAATCTAGCGGCATTGCCGCAGCCTAGGGATGCAGGCCTCTGAGCCCCTGTTGGCTTTACAAGCACTGCCCTCCCATCTAACACTAGTATTCCCGCTGGTTTGAAGTTGCCTGTTCGTGCCAACACAGTGCTTGCCTTCGGCATCGGGAACACTTGTGAAAAGGGACTTGTGAATCTGTGGAAATTACCTGGGCCGGTCATTCCGCAGGTCCTTTGCTTTTGATTCAGTTCAACACACGTTGATTAGCCTGTTTTATTTTTTAATGGATCCACTATTGTCAAACACTATGTTAAGTGTTTAAGCTATTAATATTTATTGTGAGGTAGACTTCAATCCCCATTTTACAGGTGAGGAAACCGAGGTTTAGGTTAAGTAACAATGCGTGATGAGCCAAGTTTGAAGTGTGCCTTTCATCCTCCCACTACTTGTATAATCCGATAGCTATTATTGGTTGAACTACCCATTCTGCTCTTGGTAGTACAATCTGTTAGCAGTTTTGAGAAACCTCTCGCTAGGCATTAACGCTAGAGTTTGGGAATTGCATCAAGTTTTAAGCTTGAGATTCTAGGATTCTAGCGCATGTGAATGCTTCAAAATACGTTTACCAAAAAGTCGATTGAAATATATGGAACTCATTTTTCCTTCCCATTCCATACAATGGGAGCTCTGGTGTGGCGCAGGAGGATAAGCGCTGGACCGTAGAGTTGGTTTGAACTGCGAGGTTGACGGTTCAAACTCACCAGCCGGTCCTCGGAAACCCTGTCCTGGGTCGATCTGAGTCATAACCTACTCCACGGCACTTAACAACACCACCAACATATATGGAAAGATCTGAAGAGGAGACTTGAGTTCAGTGGCCAGTTGAGTGGCCTTCAGAATCGTTTGTAATATAAGAAATTGATCATTCTCATCCCTGGCTGTATATTAGAACCACTGAGGAGTTGTAAAAAAAACAAAAACTAGTGATGCGTCTTTCTTTCCCCCCTTCTGATTCAGTCGACATGATTATATTGTTTTAATTCCCAGAAGTGATTTTAATATACTGTTAAGTTTGAGAACCACCAGTTGTTGTTAAATGCCCTTGAATTGATTCCAACTCAAAGCAACCCTGTATAGGGCTTTGGGGACTGGCTGTGGGTGTAAACCACCCATCTTGTGGCTAGAAGTCCAGTGTTTAGTTTTACAGCACCACTCCAGCACCGGATTGCGAACCACATGGGTGACAGTTAACACCTACCAACTGCCCCTGGGAAAACTCTATATAGGGGTGCTATGCGTTAAACAGACTCCAGTCATTTAACTCTAGGATCCCAGGTTTCCAGCTAATTTAGAAAGTTCTTTTAAGGTCTTGAATGATATACCTCTGCTTTATTATTATTTTTATTATTACCTAAAAACAGAGAATATTAGAAAGATGTTTACCTGTGCTTTATTGACTATACAAAGGCTTTCCATTGTGTGGATCATGAAAAACTATGGACAACATTGCGAAGTATGAGTATTCTGGAACACTTAATTGTGCTCATGAGGAATGAATCTGTACCAGGACAAAGAGGCAGTTGTTGGAACAGAACATGGGAACACTGAATGGTTTAAAATTTAAAAAGGTGTGCGACAAGGTTGTATTCCTTGTCAGAATACAATAGAATGAAACCAATACATCCGTTTTGGAAGAAATGCTGCCAGAGTGCTCCTTGGAGGCCAAGATGGCCAAACTTCATCTGTCATACTACGGACATATTGTCAGGAGGGACCAATCGCTGAAGAAGGATATCATGTTTGGTAAGGTGGAGGGTCAGAGAAAAAGAGGAAGACCCCCAACAAGATGGGTTGGCCAAGTGGCAACATCGATAGACTCAAGCGTGGCAACAGTAGTGAGGTTGGCCCAGGATCGGGCAGTGTTTTCTGCTGTGCATAAGGTTGCTATGGGTCGGTACCGACTCGATAGCACCTAACAACAACAAAGGTGTAGCGCTGCAGGTTGATGCGCTGGACTATCGCAGGGTCTGTGGTTCAAACTCACCAGTTGTTCCTAAGAAACCCTATACAGAGTAGCTATGAGATAGCACTTAACAACAACAAGGAACCCTAGTAAGGCCCCCTGGTAGTATAGTGGATTATGAGCTGGGCTGCTAACCACAAGGTCAGCAGTTTGAATCCACCAGCCACAATGTGGGAGAAAGATGAGGCTTTTTGCTCCTGTATGTGGGAACTTACTCAGTGGCACACAACCACCACCACCATGTGTGTTGCTTCTAATTGCAAGGTCAGCCGTTGGAATCCACTAGCTGCTCCTCAGAGGAAAGTTGAGGTTTTCTGCTCTGGTAAAGATTATAGCCTCAGAAATTCTATACAGAGTAACTATGCATCACAACCAACTGATGGCACACAGCAGCAGCAGCAATGTACGTTTTATATGACAACCAGGTATGCTTCTATCATTCAGTATTGGCTGCTGTTGATTCATCTAACAAATTATATTGTGATGTACTATAAGTTAAATACTGAGTTTTATATTAATGAAGATATTTTCAAGGTACACAATATATGAGATGCAGATGAGTCTTTTAGTAGATGTGTGTGGTTAACATATTTTACTTTTTTTTAAATTAGAGAATACTTGCAGATTGTTTTGTGAATTATCTTAAAGTTTAAGATGATTTAATACATAATATGAATGGGTATTATTTCTGTACCTATTTTTGTTATCCTAACTGTTGTTGTTGTTGTTAAGTACCGTGGAGTCGATTCCGACTCATAGTGACCTTACACAGGGTTTCTGAGGCTGCAAATCTTTATGGGAGCAGACTCCCTCATCTTTCTCCTGTGGAACAGTTACAATCTGCAAAATATACTGGAAGCTGATGTCATACCAGATGATGTTACAGCACAGAATTTGAGATACTAGAAATTTACCTTGTTTATTCTCATTTTTCATATAAAATGTGCCTGTGCTGTGCATCAAAATACTGAAGTCTTGTTGGGCAAAATCTTCATGCCATAATTTTTAAGAAGTATGGGGGCATACATACTTTTTTTTTAAATCATTGTCACTTGTATAGATTGGAAGGTTAATGCTGAAATACACAATGCTAATAATAAGTAATATGGCTTCTTGCTTAATGAGCTAATTGGAAATGCAATTTATGATTAGGAAAACCCAAAATACAAAAATCCAATATTATCAAACCATTTGTATTTACACAGGAAACTAAGATACTGTCTTTTGATTAGTCAGTGTTCTTAGCCCTTTTAAAATATAGTCTGGCTTATTACAATTTGGTTAACATGTAACAAATTGGGAGCTCTCTCTGACATTTGTGAAGTTTATTAAATTAGTACTCATTTTTCCTATTTCATTCTTAATTTATTATGCTATTAGCTGTAATTTTCACTTAGAAATCATAAAGAAAGTATTTCTTGTAGAACAGAATAGCACAGACCAATAGGATTTCCTAGGTTGCAACTTTTATGGTAGCAGATTGCCAGGTCTTTCGCCTCATGAGCAACTGGTGGGTTCTAACTGCTAATGTTTTGGTTAGCGGCGACTTGCTTAACTATTGCACAACTAGGGCTCATTGTAAAGTGATAGTTCAGGGGCCAGATTGTAGCAGGTTTTAAATGCCAGGCACATGAATTTTGGGTAAAGTTTTTTTTATTAAATATTAAAATTGTGAAGCCCTTCAGATATATTTAGAAATAAAAGTACCAGAATTACTACATTGCTATAATACAGAGTGTTGACTATTTGTAAAGCACAAACTCATGGGCAAGGGAATTCGAATATGGCAATTATTGTAGCCTTTCGTTTAACTATGTAGCCTTAGAGAAGTCGTTTATCTATAATTGGAATTAGATGGATAAATCATTTTCTAATCCAAGTCCATATTTATTTACTTAGAATAAGGAATTGAACTTTAAGTTTAGATTGATTACTTTCTTGCCTGTACATTATATGATGTAAATGGAAACTGTTCAATAGCTGAAAGTTACTTCGTCTTCTTGTTATGTGCCGTTGAGTCAGTTCTGACTCGTAGCGACTCTGTATTGGGTTTCTGAGGCTTTAAATCTTCATGGCAGCAGAAAACTTCATCTTTCTCCTATGGAATGGCTGGTGGGCTCAAGCTGAGAAGCTTGTCATTTGCAGTCCAGTGCTTAATGTACGGAACCACTATGCTTCCACTTATAGTCTCAGCAAGTTGTTTATCATTTATAAACGTAAATTGTCATTCTAACGCAAATTTGTTATTACTTTAGTTTAAATTAATGAGGTTTACTGGGGGTTAGGCAATTGCAGAGAAATTGCTTAAGAACTCTGCTTCCTTAGACTTTACATATTGGTGTTACAGATCCAGGTGTTAATAGGGGTCGAGTCGCTGTTTCAAACAGTAAAGATAATGTTCACTTACCTTTGTTATTGGCCCCAAATGCTTAGTCTTTCAAGGAGATTTCACTATAACTTTGGAAGGGTATGAATGACTGAAAAGTAATTTAAGGTTTTAAACTTATATGTTTTGCGACTCCCCACCCCCGGAGAAATAAAGTAATTTGTCTAACAAAGTTGATGCAATACAATATGTGTGCTTTTAAAGTCATTTGAAATGGACATTTCCTTTCTAAATATTAGGTACTGGAGTGTGGGGTTTGTGAAGATGTCTTTTCTTTGCAAGGAGACAAAGTTCCTCGTCTTCTGCTTTGTGGCCACACTGTCTGTCATGGCTGCCTCACTCGCCTACCTCTTCATGGAAGAGCCATTCGCTGCCCATTTGATAGACAAGTGACAGACTTAGGTAAGAG